AGTTAAATTTAATAAAAAATGTTCATTCTTCTTGATTAGATAACAAATATTCACATTTAGTAAAATGAGAAGAGGATTAGAAATATTTTGGTCGAGGTATAAAAGGGAGTTGATTGATTGATTTATTATTGGTGTTTAACGCTATTTTCAGCACTATTTTGCTAATTCGTGGCGGCCAGTTTTTATTGGTGGAGGAAGCCGGATTCCAGGAGAGAACCAGGACCTTCAGCAGGAAAACTGACAATTCTAGTCAATTAAAATTGGAGTCGAACGCACCTGCTACGTGTGGGGTTCCAACAAACAACCACACTGTTAACAGGCTAGTAATACAATAGAAGAACTACTTAGACCACTCGACCACTAAGGTCCTGACAAAGGAGGAGATTTGACCACTCGACCACTAAGGTCCTGACAAAGGAGGAGATTTGACCACTCGATCACCAAGGTCCTGACAAAGGAGGAGGTTTGACCACTCGACCACCAAGGTCCTGACAAAGGAGGAGGTTTGACCACTCGACCACCAAGGTCCTGACAAAGGAGGAGGTTTGACCACTCGGCCACCAAGGTCCTGGCAAAGGAGGAGGTATGTGCGCAAGTCAAAAATATTTGCGACAAAATTCTTTCAAAATATGTTGGTATGATGAATAGACGTTTGGGAAGACTTTGCGACAGAATTCTTTTTCTAAGATATTGCATGCATAGTCTTTCAGATGTCTTCTTCGTGAGACTAAGAGTCATCGGATCCATCAAATTTAACCCCAAAAAGATGAATTAGTTTTATTTACTTGAATGGCTAAGCTTTACTGTAAAACACGTGTACATAGACTTTCTTTCAAAGAAAATAGTTTATCTTATACAAATCTTCAGAAATATTCCGCTATTGGATTATTGTAGTCCTGTACTGTAATTCGCAGACAGCTTTTACGTATTCAGTAAAACTTCACCATGACACCTCTCCTTATAAATTCGACAATCACACCTCAAAAGTGCGAAGGGGAAAAACCGTGGGGGTAGAAAAAGTAAATAAATTAGGGGGAAGAATACACCAAATCATTTAACAGTGTTATGACACAAAGTCTGCTTTACAATAGAAAGGCATGAAAAATATAAAAAAAAAATAGATAACTATCGCTCTATCATCTCATGTATTATACACGAGCTCCATGATTCTGTGTTGACTATTTATCAAGGTCTCGATCGGTAAAACTTCGAAACCGAAACCAGAGATTTGATAAGCAGTCAAAGTTTTCGATCAACAATCAACGAATGTTAAATATTTGTCGATTAAAAGTTATGAAAACGTTGTAACTGTAAAAATCGTGCACCAAGGACTAAGTAAAAAAGTCCTTACAGAAGTACATGTAAGTGTAATTCAGATGCCACTTGATAGACTTCGGAATCAAATTCTTTCAAAAGAAAAATCTTTGTGTTATTCTGAAGTCTTAAGGAGAAGACTTTGCAACACAGTTCTTTTAAAAGATGCTGATGTGATCAAAACCTCTTTCAGGACTTTTATCGATATTATATTCAATTTGATAAATATCTATGAATATCTTTCCTCCACTGTGCCAATTACGATCTACTTGTAATATTACAATCAGAATTTTGCACTGAAAGAGCCAAAGTAGTTTTATCCTATTTCCTTTTTAAATTGCAATAAATAAAGTCCACATAGTATATCAGAATTTTCGAGCATTTGTCATTTAATGATGAACTACATAATTCATTTTTAATAATAAATCTTCCTTAAGATGTGACATTTTATAATAAAAATAAGGATAAAAGATATATAAGACTTTCACTGAATAGTTTTCCTCATTCTTAAGGAGGTTGTAATATTGCCACATCAGCAGTTTTTTTTTTTTTTTTTTTTGCAATAATTTGCAATTCTACAGAGAAATAGAGAGAGAGAGAGAGAGAGAGAGAGAGAGAGAGAGAGAGAGAGAGAGAGAGAGAGAGAGAGAGAGAGAGAGAAAATGAATTGTAAATTCTCGGTCCTCATTTTTATTGTCCAGATTTTATTGATTTTAAATCATTGTACAAATATTCTCATATTTAATTCTCCTGGTTTTTCAACAGGGTGATACTGCATATTTTGTCATTATTGAGCGACCATTATTGATATATTTAATTTGATTGTTTTGTTTGTCACCATGTAAGGAAGTCGAACTAGGTGCCATGTAAGGAAGTAGAATTAGGTGAGAGATTAAAATAAAAATGATCCAACACATATAATTTGAAACTCTAGAAACACAATATTTGACTCGAACAAATTTTAAGACATTCACTTGGAAGTTTTTTTTCCTACTAAATATTTTCAGCGAGTCATACCAATGTGTACTTATAACTTCTGTTTTCATTTTGTCAATTATTCTCTTTACTCAAACAGATTTGTGTTCGGTCTCTTTAAATTTTCATGCATGTGTATGTATATGTGTAGATAATTCATCTAACAAGTTATGAGGAGATCATATATTTATCCCCTCCAAAATCTTTTATCTTGTATATTGTGTACTGTTGTTTGTCTTTTAGTTGGTTTTTTTCGTTTTTGCCATGGCATTGTCAGTTTGTTTTCGACTTATGAGTTTGAATGTCCCTTTGGTACCTTTCTCCTCTCTTTTATGTTTCCTCACATTTCTCATTTCATAAAATTGAGAATGGAAATGGGGAATGTGTCAAAGAGACAACAACCCGACCAAAGAGCACACAACAGCCGAAGGCCACCAATGGGTCTTCAATGCAGCAAGAAACTCCACCACCCGGAGGCGTCCTTCAGCTGGCCCCTAAACAAATATGTATACTAGTCCAGTGATAATGGACGTCATACTAAACTCCAAATTATACACAAGAAACTAAAATTAAAAATGATACAAGACTAACAAAGGCCAGAGGCTCCTGACTTGGGACAGGCGCAAAAATGCGGCGGGGTTAAACATGTTTTTTGAGGTCTCAACCCTCCCCCTATACTTCTAGCCAATGTAGAAAAAACAAACGTACAACAGTACGCACAATAAAACTCAGTTTAAGAGAAGTCCGAGTCAACATGGACTAGTATTGTATAGCTGTTTTTACTCCTCTCCTACCTGCCTAATTTTTGGAATTGCTCATTAAGGATTACTAGTTTTTTGTATTTGAAAATGAGAAGACGTGGCATAATAAAAAATGAGAATCTGGCTGGGTTAAACATGTTTGTTAGAGGTCAACTCTCTCCTAACTTTTAACGCTCAAAAGATCGGTATGAGGCACAAAACCATTAACATAAAAACATTAGACACATCGAAAATCTAGTTCAAAGCTAATTACAACTAATAAATAAATCATGTTCTCCTAGACTAAAGTATCAATCAGTACACATTTAACGGATTTAGTGTAATAACGTCATAAACAGTCAAAGAAACGCATGACCTTGTTTGTTAGAGGTCAACTCTCCCCTTGAAAAAATTGGGATAGTGGATGTAACAGCACAACATAAAAACAACATGTAATATCAATTGGAAAAACAAGCTTGACTGATCAATTGTTTATCCATAAAGACCTATCTTGCAATAGTGCTGACGTAATACACATAAATCTCCGTCGAATAAACAATAAACAAAGGTATCACAAATTAATCAATATCTGATCAACTTCAATGACTTTTTAATTTCCTCCTTCATTCTTTATGTACGCCAGTAGGATTTATAAGACGTTGTAATGTACAATAACATTGAGAAAAATATTAAAAACAGACAGGGTTTATGAACTGTTAGCAATATAACTGTTAAGATTGATTTTCATATTGACAAAGGGTTAATTATTCAACCTTTGCTTTTATGTTTGGTTTGATAGGCAGTCTAGCATTGTGAATGCATCTTTCTTTGTTGATGTCTTTCATCAAGATGATTCTTTAAATTACATTTTTGAAAGACTTTTTACATAAAACATATTAGCTGGCAATGTAATTAGCGAATAAGATCCATGGAATGTTATTGTAGAAAGATTGAAGATAAAAAAAGTAATAACAACCTTTAAAAACAACAGATTCAACTTCTCAATTTGAAGGCAAAGACTAGAAGTTCATTGTAAGTTATGTCACTAAATAATAAAAGTCCTACAGTTTGTATTATTGGTTAAATTTTACCTGATCGAGTGTGCCGGTAACTGAGAGCAGCTCCGTTTAAGTAAATTTTACCTGATCGAGTGTGCCGATAACTGAGAGCAGCTCCGTTAGAGTAATTTTTCCTGATCGAGTGTGCCGATAACTGAGAGCAGCTCCATCTAAGTAAATTTTACCTGATCGAGTGTGCCGGTATCTGAGAGCAGCTCCGTTTAAGTTAATTTTACCTGATCGAGTGTGCCGATAACTGAGAGCAGCTCCGTTTAAGTAAATTTTACCTGATCGAGTGTGCCGGTAACTGAGAGCAGCTCCGTTTAAGTAAATTTTACCTGATCGAGTGTGCCGATAACTGAGAGCAGCTCCGTTTAAGTAAATTTTACCTGATCGAGTGTGCCGGTAACTGAGAGCAGCTCCATTTAAGTATATTTTACCTGATCGAGTGTGCCGGGAACTGAGAGCAGCTCCGTTTAAGTAAATTTTACCTGATCGAGTGTGTCAGTAACTGAGAGCAGCTCCGTTTAAGTAAATTTTACCTGATCGAGTGTGTCGGTAAATGAGAGCAGCTCCGTTTAGGTAAGTTTTACCTGATCGAGTCTGCCGGTAAATGAGAGCAGCTCCGTTTGAGAAAAGATAAACTCATAAATGTTAAAAAATCTGAAAAAGAAGAAACATTGGCCATAAAACAAATCTATGTGTAACAGCAGTCTCCGACATACATTGCTTTCCCTTCCTTGATATTTTACAATATTTCAGCTTTTAGAGATACATGAGTTAAGAATATACGGTAATGTTGTTTAAAATTTTGTTTACAGTTTTTATTCATCATATACTTCTGAAAGTGTATTTTGACGTTAAATGTAAAAAAAATATTAAGAAATAATGTTCTTTTACTTTATTTTTCTAGTTCCTCCATATGAAGCTGCTGCTATAGCCACAGGACTTATAAGTGTTGGATTAATTATGGCAGCTATAGTTATATTTATCTGTTGGAAATTCCCTATATGTAGATCTAGGACTTTCTGGGACAGACAAACAAAAAGAATACTTAGGAAATTATACAGTAAGTAAAATGCTAATAATATCGTCTTGAATAAAAAATAAAAGTTGACAGATAATATTAGCATACATCAAGTTATTGTTCCTTATCTTGATGCTTTCGCTTAATCTGATCCGATGTCAACCATTCGCTTGTAATGATCTGGCAGAGCTCCGTGCAAGACCTTTCGAGGATCCTCGGGATTTGCCGTAATGTTACATAACTTCAAATGTTTTGAAGTTGAAATTCCATTGGTTGACGCAATGATTACCAAAATAGAAAGCAGAACGGATCGGATCGTTGGCAAACCTTTGTACGGGAAGCTGTAATTTAATCGGATTTTTCCTATAGTGGTTCTTACATATTAAACTAGAAAATAAAAATGTCCATATATGACTATCAAATGCATTTTTAGAGAGAATGGAGAATAATGGGGTGCTAAAACATAAAAAAACAAAACAAAGCATAATTGCAAAATATAAAAAATAGAGAAAAAAAGGCCTTAAAAAGAAATGAAGGACCCTCATCCAGACCCGCTTGCATGACATAATGCGGCAATTATCAGTATATAGCTTATTTCATCAGCTACCTGTCTGTAGCATCTGACGTTTGTTTCCGGTGTCTGCTGGGAGAATCCATTAATCGTCTGCAATTTGTACAACATTTGTAATTATAGTATATAGAACAGACATTTTCCCGAATAAAGGCATTATATATACAATTTAGAGCTAAAATTTGATGAAGCTTTGTAGTTGTGTAATCTACTTATAATCTTCTTCATTAAATATTTAGATATACTCAGCAATAGTTCTAATAGAAATCACACCTACCTGCGGTCAAAAACATTCGAGTACGATTATCGTACTCAGACTCAAAAAATTTTGTATTCCGAGTACTTGGTTAAGTTTATGAGCCAGAACCCTCAGACCAAGAGTTATTTACTGTGAACTGTAAGATTTAATACGAAAAAGAGGGCAAAGTCTTGTCGATTGGCACCTTTGCCTGACTGTGTATAATATTATTGGGCCGATGATAAGATCGCACGAGGCAACAGTTTGTGCAATGACAGTTCCGATGCGAGAACCTATCAGTAATGCGGTTAATACTTGGATCAAATTTCGAAAGTAGATTTCAAAATTCTTTAAGATTGAGAAAATATCCCCCCCCCTTATAGATAATATGGACTGTCGTATTTGATACCAGGTGAGTAAACGGCTGCTCGCTACTCCCTAGTGTAAAAAATTACAACTGAAATGTATGTGTTACTTTTTATGCAAATAAATCATTTTATACCTTTTAGTTTTTTTTTATATTTTCGTATTTTGCTGTAATGCTAAATATCTCTACTGCAAGATCAAGTCCTTCCAGATATACTTTCCGTTAGCCCTGAATAAGGGTCTGGATTTTGGGGGGGGGGGGGTGCTTCAATTCTATATTCTGTTTGGCTAATTTTCTGTAATATTGGTTCATTATTCTCTATTCAGTAAACCTTTTCTTCAAGACCCTCCTGAATTGTCATGTGACTTTTGTCATTAAAACTTTCTAAATTAAAATTAATCATAATACGTATCTCAGAATTTGAATTGAATTGTCCTACAAACGCAACACTGTTTTCAAATATTGCATTTTAGCTTAAAGTACAAGTAAAGCAAGTATGTCAGGGTCTGTGTGATAACAATTGTAAAGCGTAATGTAGTAATAGTTCCCCTGGGATTAAGCTAACTACAACCTGACTGTCAAGTCCGATCGACAATAGATGTTACTCAAATCACATGATACGCCAAGTGTCACATGAGAAATTAAATGCAAAACATCAGACGATATAGCCAGTTAATATTGGTTAGATCTGCACCAAAAACTAATTTCAAGCAGCAGACTCTGTTGTATTAAAACCTAATATCGGTTAGACTAATAAAGAAGTAGATATTATTTATCGTAATGTTACTTAGACTAATAATGTACAATAAAGACGTTTTCAAGCACTCACTTGTACCCGATCAACATTCTAAATCAACAGTTCATTTGTCATGTTAGGAATTGAAGATTAATTTTCAAGATAGCAATGACTATTGTCAATTTATTTCCTTGTTAAATATATTCAATTTGGTTTTCAAGCACGACTCAATGGAGTTGATATCAGTTGATCATTCAGTAATGGTAAATGGTATTACGCGACAATTCTAGACAAAGCTTCATAAGGGCTAATTTGAGAAGATTGAATTATTATATTTCTGCAGGCGACAGTAGTATCACGAAATATGATTGGTTAATTATATTGTTGTTAACCTTGATTTTACAATAACGTAATTCATTTCTCTGAGTGTGGTTATCTTACAGCAACACCTGTTGATCAGATGGCGACTTGGCGACTTTCAGATTTCATTCCTCACTATGAAAAATTAATTCATCTGTTTCAGAATTGAAAGACATTGTCGGTAGTCTTATTTAAGTGTTATTAGGTAGACCGAAGCACGTTTTGTATTGAGGCGCGTTCCACAGCTTTAGCATAGTCGTAAAATAAATACAGATACAGAAATTTCATATTGCATGGTGTTTCGAAAAAGATGTAAGGCCAATTAATATGTTTTAATCACAGGGTTGTCAGATCTAAATGCTTTCATTTTTGTATCTTTTTTTGTATTTCGTATTTCTTTATTTTTTTGGAGAGAGTAGGAGAGGGTGTACTCAGGTCGATTTTGAGAGCTTGACATATTGTTAGGATGTCTGTCGTTTCTTGAAGGCTGTACGGTGATTTTTTAATCAGATATCATTTTGATTATTTGTGTGCCCCCTGTCTCGTTGACGATTTTATCTTTCACCGTGCTTCATAATGATTGCAAAATAAAAGTGAACCATTTCGGACAAAAATCAACAAGTGCAAGGTACCCCAAGCAAACCATATATATTTTCCATTGTATTGTTTTTCATATTCATTGTCATTTATTATAATATATAATAAGCACCTCTTATATTCCTCAAAGGATATTTTTGAAAAGGGTCACTCCATCAGATGACTGCTTTACGTGATCAGACAGAACAGTTCAGACTTTTTTTATTGTGCATGCTTTCACTCATTAGCAGAAATAAGAAATTGGCATATCAATAAAAATCTCTTTTAAGTCCTATGTAATTCTTTTTCATATCTGTTATCCTTCTTAAATGACAATGCCACTAAATTACAGTACATCTCAGAAGTCTTGCAATCAATATCATAATATTCCACTTTATTTAAATATTTTAAGATATGTAGATGTGCGATTGGTCAATATTTCCTCATATAACATCAAACAAAAAGAATGTTTCCCTCTCAATATCTAGTTTCCCGGTAATATTTCCCAGTCAACATTCATCAGATATATCTAAAATAGAGGCGAAAGATACCAAAGGGACATTCAAACTCATAAGTCGAAAATACACTGACAATGCCATGGCAAAAAAATATAAAGACCGACAGAAAAACAACAGTACTCAAAACACAACATAGAAAACTAAAGACTGAGCAACACAAACCCCACCAAAAACTGGGGGTGATATCTAAGTCAGTCTCGTCGTACTCTCGAAAAATATATCGTAATTATGTAAACACAAATACCTGTATAAACAAAGAAAGACCGTGGTGAACCTTCCTACTGCAAGGGATATATATGCATGCTATTCAAATGACGTAGAACGTTCAAGCTCGCCACATTAAGAGCAAGATGAATATAACACTTACAGTTTTAGACGACCACTTTACATAAGTATCCATTGTCTGAATTAGTTCACTGTGAATGATCTTAAGATATCTAAAATCAAATTGATACCAAACTTAGATGTTACGTTAAGTCTCTTACATTTTACTGTTAGTAACCGTTACAATATCCCCAATATCTCTGCCACTGTCTACGTATATTAAATCTTATTAGTTGTAATTTGCTTTGAACTGCAAGTACTCTTGTATCGGTACATTGTGTCAATTGTTTTATGTTAATTGGATATTGTTCTTCGTACCGATCTATTGAGTTCATCCATTTTTTACAGTTTGTTCTAATGTTATGCTGTAACACCCAGGTTAGACGAAGGGTTGATCGCTCATAAACATGTCACATCCATAGCCTCTCACATCTAACTGTCACATCCATAGCCTCTCACACCTGTCACGTCTATAGCCTGCATCAGCTAACTGTTACATCAATAGCCAGTATCATCTAACTGTTACATCTATAGCCTCTCACATCTAACTGTCACATACATAGCCTATCACATCTGTTACATCAATAGCCAGTATCATCTTACTATTACATCCATAGCCTCTCACATCTAACTGTAACATCCATAGCCTCTCACATATAACTGTTACATCCATAGCCTCTCACATCTAACTGTTACATCAATAGCCTCTCACATCTAACTGTTACATCCATAGCCTATCACATCTAACTGTAACATCCATAGCCTCTCACATCTAACTGTAACATACATAGCCTCTCACATCTAACTGTTACATCCATAGCCTCTCACATCTAACTGTTACATCCATATCCTCTCACATCTAACTGTAACATCCATAGCCTCTCACATCTAACTGTAACATCCATAGACTCTAAAATCTAACTGTTACATCAATAGCCTCTCACATCTAACTGTTACATCAATAGCCAGTATCATCTAACTGCCAAATCCATATCCTCTCACAGATTGTTGTAACTGTAATTTGCCACATCTTATTACATTTTACTTAAATAGTCACAGCCTCTCACATCTTACTGTCACAATCACAGACTTTCACATCTTACTGTCACAGTTACAGTTGCTCACATCTTACTGTCACAACCACAGCCTCTAACAACTTACATTTATAGCCACAGCCTGTCACACTTTTATCGGCTCAACCTCTAACATCTAACGGTCATAGTCACAGCCTCTTCCATCTTACCGTCAAAGTCACAGCCTCTTCCATTTTACCGTCACATTCACAACCTCTCGCATCTTACTGTCGCAGTCACATTTTCTCACATCTTACTGTCGCAGTCACAGCCTCTCTTATATTACTGTCACAGTCACAATCTCTCTTATATTACTGTCACAGTCACAACCTCTCTTATATTACTGTCACAGTCTCTCACATCTTACCGTCACAGTCACAGCCTCTTTCATCTTACTGTCACAGCCTCTCATTTCATACTGTTACAGTCACAACCTCTCGCATCTTACTGTCACAGTCACAGCCTCTAACAACTGACATTCATAGTCACAGCCTGTCACACCATACTTTTATAGACTCAACCTCTCACATCTTACTGTCACAGTCACAGTCTTACATTTTACACTAATTGTCACACCTTAATTTCCCTGCATCATCCTTTCATATCTTTCTGTCATTGGCACAGTCTCACACCTTACTTTCACAATCACAGTCTCTCACATCTTACTGTCACTGCAACATCCTCTCAAACCTATGTCATTGTCTCAGAAATTTTCAGCAAACTTCGCTACCAAGTAATCTCAAATTTAACTGTCAATTTCACAGTATCTCACATCCCACATTCAATTGTCACTTTATATCACATATAACTGTCACTACCACAGTATGTCAAATCTAACTGTCTCTATCACAGTATCTCACATAGACCTCCTTTCTCTGCCACATCCCCTCACATCGTACTTGTCCTTGTCACTGTCACGATCTTTACATCTTTCAGTCATTACTGTAATATGTCAAAGCAGTGGAAGAGGATCTAAGGTTACTGCTTTGAACTAAAAATGTCAAAAACTACATGACAATTCACTCTAAGAAATAAATTGTTTAAACTACGGTATTGTTGATACTCCGCATTTATCACTGTCAAAATAAAAACGTTATGGATTCATAATCATTGTTTTTGTAGGTTTTGAAATAGTATAGCCTAAAAGTTGACGTGTCGTTTCTGAAGCTGAAATGCTTCATTCGTGTATGCTTTTATACTCACTGTGGTGTAGTTTTAGTAATCTTTCACTGAACGTGAAAGTACAAACAAATTAAAAAGAAATGGATTTCTAGAAAGCATACTTCCTTTCCAATCCAATCAGTTAAAAAATCTACTCAAACAATTAATGAACTGATAGTTAAGAAATTTGTCTTTTGAACCTATCAATTGTCTCATAAAGATCTCATTTAAGTCCGACGAGATTTCACGGCAGATTGTAAGGCCACGCCTAATTAGGTTATAGTTGTTTGGATTCGGTTGCATCAACCGTTGCTTTATGGAGAATTCTTTTAAAACACATATTTTTTTTTTACACAAAATGTATTTTTTTCAATAATTCAACTGGAAAATATAAAATTAAAATGGTTTTATACCAACTTAATCATTTTTGGTATTTTAATCGTTTACTGCTTATTTACAAAGAAATATTCTTGTAGGAATGTTACACATTGATTGTGTAATGGATGTGATTGGATTAGTCTCCCTTTAAAAGTTCAAAATTATAGTACTTTACTTAATGAAATGTTTATTTCATGTTTAATTTTATTTAAACATACTAGAATAGAAAGTAGCTTTATTGATGTAACTATAAAAGTATTCAAAGTTAATATCACTTCATGTATTTGATTAATATTCATTAATTTGATATTTCTCTAAAACCATATCTTTAGTTTAAGTGATAAGTTTTTATTTAAATCCTGATCTGGTGTGTCTTGGTCTTATTCGGTAACCATTTCGAAAGTACATGTATACCCACTCCATTCATTTCTATAGCAGAATTTAAAATAACCCCCATTCATATATATCACATATGTAGTTCAGTAATCTTTTTTTCGATAAATCTCTGTGCGCTAGTATGTGTGAATACAAAATGCACCCAACACAATTTGAGGTGCTGTTGATAAATAATCAATTACATTATTTTCGGTCTTTGATTTCACTCGTAATTCAATAAATTTTACTTCAGATACATGTTAAATGAATAATTTACAAATTATTCCGATTTATTCTCTTTTTTCTCAGTAAAATTTTACCTCACTTACAACTTTTCCGCCATCTTGGACATGAATCGTCGCTTAACTTAAAACGGTGCATTCCGGTATATTCCGGTTTTATATTTTTTTTAGAAACGAACGAAAATCCTGTTCCGGATGCCAGAAACGAACTAAAAACCTGTTCGGATGCCAGAAACGAACGAAAAACCTGTTCGGATGCCAGAAACGAACCGACTCACTCTCCACTTTAATATATGAGCCGGCAGTGTAACATTGCCACCCTTCTCTAATACACTTTAAATTCAGTCTAATTTAGACTACAGCTCGCAGGAATCCTTAATGACTTTGATTCCACTCGAGTTATTTAACAGCAACTACATTGGCATTATTTTGGGTACCATTTACTAAATTCTAAAACACAACGCGAAGGATACATTTACATTTTGACAATAGTTTTTGAATTACTATTCTATGTCTTCTATTTGAATTCATTTGACTTGAAATACTTTTTTTTTCATCTTATTTGATTTCGTTTGTTTTATTTGATTGTTGTACATTTGTAAATAAATTGTTGAGTTCTATTTGATTTATGTCTCTGTTCAGCCAAAATATGATATCAGGTATCCCGATGATCGAATAGGGACGAAATACTAGCCACTACACGTCCCGGGAGGTGTCGACACTGTCTCCCTCCTGTTACAATTGTATCTTTTAAAGTGATATGAGAAAATCATATCTCGTTCGTGTTTCCTTTCTTTTTTCTTTTCATTTTGTTTTTTATTTTACTATTGTTTTTTTTTAAACAAAATAAAAATAAGAATTGGCGTAGCCTAAGATAATGACAGATCAATATTGTTTATCAGGAATTTCTAAAGACCTGTCACGATATGACTATTATGCTTCTGATCTGCAATGGGAATAAATTTAATAAATCTATTTATGGATGACAAGCGATTATATCACACAGAATAATCTATGTGAAGTTTTTCTTATGTTGTAAAACAATAATGCAAGGTTTCGATATATGTTTTTGCCATTCGGTTTTTTGTAGCAATCTATTTATCATGTGTTAACGGGTAAAAGATCGTTTTTCCTCAAGATAGACATTTACAGAAACATGTAATAATTTCATATAAAAATTCAAGAGATATGACCAACATTTCAAAATACAGGTTTTTATTCAAACGGTAAATCACTTTGGGATGATTTATCTTTTTTTTACAGAAGACATGCACAATATTTCCTTTCCGAACGATATTGCCATTAAATCCAAATGAAATTCCGAAAATTGCTATTTCACGAACCTTATTCGTTGGATATTTTAAGTTAAATAGACGGTTTTATTTTTTTCTCTCTGGTTTTTCTGTTTACGGTGAAATTTGTTTGCTTTGACAAATAAAGGTCAATAACTTTTTGCTGAAGGTCACACCAGAAACAAGTGTCTTGCGCACTAAAATTAAATATAAACGTGTGTTTCCAGGATAACTTTGTGCACTTATGGTGGCAGCAGGTAGCTCGAAACAAAACGTAAAGGCAAAATACATTTAACATCCGAAGTGTTTCCTGGCTTTATCTTCACCCGGAATGCTCAAACACAAAAAATTGAAAGCCAAGACTGTATAAAACTTGGAATAAGTGAGGGACTAAATGACCAAAAGGGACATAAAAGACAAGCCAAATCAATTTAAGGTCAACTTTGCCTGAAAGAGTGGGAACCGTAGTGTCTTCAAAATTTATCAACGGAGAACTTAAGACATTCATTTTATAAATCATGTCAATACCGAAACACTGACTAATTAGCTGATGATACCCTCGGGGACTAGCAGTCCACTAGCAGTATAGATTGATTCAATATCTTAATATAATAGAAAAACAAAGGATATAGGGTATCCATCCATAACACAAAATCAGTACATGCACAGCAAAAACACACAGAAAAAGCAAAGGAACAGTGCTTTTATTGCTAGTATACATGTACCCAACATAATTGTAGATATTGCACGTGATTGAATGACTAAATGTAAACGTTAATTTTTTCATCTTTGCTCAATTACAGTTCCTATATTTAATGACCGTATTTGATTATATATAGGCAATTGATAAGATCTTTAATTGAATTAATTTGTAACGAGTTGCGAGCTTCTTAACTTCAATATTTCATAAAGTCAATAATATGATTATTTTTAATAACCTTTCAGGGATAAAATTACGTCTACAATCTGGTTATTTTTTTTATTAGGAAAATATTGCGATGGCTTACAACAACAGTAAATAATTTGTTTATAAATGTATAGTGACACTAAAGCTGTTTAGATTAATGTTAGCTTTCGGATTAAGCAGTGACAATTAAGGTCCTAGGAAAAGATAACAGAAATTATCCCGCAAAATCCTTAGAATTGTTCTTATCGATTTCGCTTCATTCTTTTTTGCATATAAAGATGGTATCGAAGAAAGCGTATGAAATAGTAAATCCTTTGATGATCAAGGTGAAAATGGGCTGCAAATCTTTTGCTCGGTAGGTTTTCTTAGATATAAATGTGATTGTCAGTGGCGTGGTGATGATGTCAGTTAAAGATGTGGTATTGTCTATAATAAATAGTTGGTCATCTAATCAATGTTCTAGTGACAATATATGACATGCAATTCAAGGAATTAATGTATCGTTGAATATGGGTGATGCAGTGTCGAGATTTACGGAATTATTTCCTTTTTCAGAGTCACTAAATTTATCTGCCAGCCGATTACAACGGGAAAGAGATAAACCGGAAGATACTAGAAGCCTCGTTATGGGACCATTACTTCGACGTAGACAATCGGAACAAACTAAATTTGTTGTGCCTCAAATTTTTGTGGATTATGGCAGTAGAAGAACTTCTTACGCTTCAGATTACATGAGGCGATGTTCAGCAGAAAGCGGAAGTAGTCGACGTACATCGTTAGCTTCCGGTGATACGGATAGACGTGGGTCAGGAAGTAGCTTAAGTAGCAGACGAACTTCTCTTGCGTCTGATGCTGATCGTCGGGGATCTGCTGGAAGTAGTATCTCAAGTAGGCGAACATCTTTATTGTCTTCTGAATGTGCATCACGACGAGGTTCCGGAAGTAGCAAAAGTGCTAGCAGTAGAAAAAGTTCTGATGCCAGCCGGTTTGGCGACACTGACGAGTTACTAGCCGGTAAGTGTAAATTGTATTATTTTTTTTTCTTCGTAACATTCTGATCGCCCACGGTAAATAATATTTTTCACACGGAAGTATATTTAATCAATAATGTCTAGTTGTATAAGCCCCATTACTGAAAACAGAGAGTTGACTGCTTAAGTTATATCACGATAAGAATTATAAATCATGATATAGATGACAGTTATTTTGTTTCAACAATGTAGGGGTATAAATATTTTGAAATTATTTGTCTAAAAATCAATGTCAAAAGAACAGCAGAAGTTACCAATTGCAATGAAATCGAAATGATGGGATTTGTTTTCTAAGCTTTAGGTCATTGGTGGTATACTATGGTTGTGTTAGGGGTAATACGAAATGTTCAGTGTAATAAATGAGGGTTTGGATGGGGGTCCTTCATTTCTGTATTCTTTAACTTTTAGGCCATTTTTCTCTATTCCTTATACTTTTTGCCCATTATTCTCTATTCTTTATATTTTAGCACCTCATTACTTGTATTCTCTATCCTTTATTTTTTTATTCCATTTTTCTCTATTCTCTATATATTTTGCCCATTATTCTCTATTCTTTATATTTTAGCACCTCATTACTTGTATTCTCTATCCTTTATTTTTTTATTCCATTTTTCTCTATTTTTATATATTTTGCCCATTATTCTCTATTCTGTTAACTACCTAAAGACACAATTTAGCGCAAAATTCAGAAAAAATAAATGCTAATTTTAAATTTGTTCCTAGATAATATGCTGACCAAAATCTGAGAACTTTGCTTTATGACTGTAATAAAAAGCTGGAGAATCGATTGATTCTATGACCTAAATCAAGGCTGCTTGCAAGATATACGCACTATCAGCATTGATATAAAACAACCATACATATTGGTATTGCCTATTGGGGTGTCTTAGTCTCTAAAGTATCCCCCTTTTTGTAATTGTTTTTTAATAACCTGAAAATGGTTAGACATTCCCTTTTCCAGGTAAAACCTTTCTGGATTTGTTGATGATTAGGAAGTACACGTGGAAAGCCTTATAGGATAGAAAAACTTATACCATACAATTGAGAATGGAAATGGGGAATGTGTCAAAGAGACAACAATCCGACCAAAGAGCATAAACCAGCCCAAGGTCACCAATGGGTCTTCAACACAGCGATTAAATCCCGCACTCGGAGGCATGCATATTCATTTTGTCTAAATAATTAAATGAAATAATTATGATCTAAGATTGAAAATGTCAACTTTATAATAGCTGATCGGAAATAAATTACTCATATTGACTGTTCTGTTCCTGTTAAGGACAGCTAACGTATATCACGTATTAGACAGTCACTAAATTATAGTTATTATATAACAAATCATTGTAACTTTGTCATCGTATGAGAGGATGTAAATTATATAATTACACCATTTAAAAGACTGAAAACGTAAAATTAACTTATAAAGCGAGCATATTCAAAGGTTGAGGGGTTTGACACGCTTTTGTGATGTGGAATGTAGGTAGTAAAAAAGTATGGATGTGGGATATATAGGGGTAAAAAAAAAGTGGAACCTGGGATAAAAAAAAAGGGGGAAAAGTGGTCAGTGCGAAAAACTACAAAAATGCAGGATTTGGGAAATGAGCACCCCGTGTCACCTCTTCAAAGTTGATATTAAGATTAAAATAACATATAAATAGACCCTTTGGTAGGGAGGGGCAGAGATCCAATTTGTCTATGGTAATCACGCACACAATCGTTGCTTTTTTCTACTATGTAATAGAAGTAAAGACTCAACAAAATGATGCATTTTAAAAGGTCATGAGACTGCAACAGCTAATTCAAATTTATTTTTGAAAAACAAAACAAAACTTTTTTCATAATCTAGTAATTCAGTATGAAATAAAAGTACGAAACTTCGACGATTTGTTTGTCTTGAAATGATAAGACTTAAAATATATGAGTCTATTGAACATGGTTGGGCAAGCACAGTGAACTTTACAACTTAAGGAAATTAATTCTAAATAATTAACGACACAGAAACATGTTGATTGTACTTTAAAGCAATATCTATCTAAAACAGTAGACAAATAATGCGGTAGTCGGCGTTGTACTGAAATAGCGATTAATTTTACTCTGGTTACTGCTCTAGTGTTGATGATAATGCTTTGTTTTTGCATTCACAAATTGATCTCTGTTTTACATGCGATTTTCCTTAAATACAGGTGACTAATGTTTATATCGTCCTTTTTAAAATAATGAAAATAAGGAGCTATGGTATGATTGCCAATGGAATAACTATCCACCAAAAGGCCAAATGAGCAAGGATTCAAGCAACTACAGGCCACCGTATGGCATTCAACAACGATTAAATCCCATACCGTAAAGTAAGCTATAAAAGGCTCCGCAGGAAAACGATATGTGAAACAATGCAACAGAAAAAACTGATGGCATGATTTATGTTAATATAATAAACGAAGAGCATCTACAAAGACGGCAACCAACGAAAACCGCAGACACCTTGCAAGGAATGGACGCATACAGAATTTGGTAATATTTCCCAACAACCTCCTTTTCAAACGACTGATATATGACCAAACTATATAAAAAGACATACATAGGTGCAGTGGTCAACCACATTCCTAAGTGTAGAAACATGCACTATCTTAGTACTATATCAATGTGCAGAAAATGACTCCCAAATGACCAAACTATATAAAAAGACATAAATCGGTGGAGTGGTCAACCACATTCCTAAGTGTAGAAACATGCACTATCTTAGTACTATATCAATGTGCAGAAAACGACTCGCAAATGACCAAACTATATAAAAAGACAAAAATCGGTACAGTGGTCAACCACATTCCTAAGTGTAGAAACATGCACTATCTTAGTACTATATCAATGTGCAGAAAACGACTCGCAAATGACCAAACTATATAAAAAGACATAAATCGGTGCAGTGGTCAACCACATTCCTAAGTGTAGAAACATGCACTATCTTAGTACTATATCAATGTGCAGAAAACGACTCGCAAATGACCAAACTATATAAAAAGACATTAATCGACCACATACTTAAATGTAGAAGCACGCACTATTTAGTATTGAGCGTAAAGAATTGTCGGCTCAGATGTATCAGAAAGGTGATATGTATTTGTAAAGACTGTTATCTTTGTGAATTACCTTGTTAAAAATCTGACTGAGCTTGTAGATCTAAAGGTACAAAATGGATTTAAGAAATATCTCACAAACATGTATTTTTCCTGATTTAATGTGTCATATTTGTCGGTGGACCACGTAATAAATTGAGGGTAATTTTGAAAACAATTTCTCCAGATTTTCATGCCTCGTAAATTTTTTTTCTCATTTCTGCCCCAATTTTTTTTTACTGCAGCCATCAGTATAACATTCGTTTCCGGTGGGAATTATAATGATTCCACCAAACAACGTCTTCAACTAAACGTGATTTTTTTTAAGGGGGGGGGGGTCAATTTTTTTTTATCATTTACCTCAAATCTTGTTACAATTTACAAATATTATTTTATCCAGAGAATAGGTCGATCGCAAAGACCTCCTAAATACATTAGAGAGTGTCGAGAAACAATATATTCTTTAAAACTTGTAATAGAATTTACAATTCTCACTGGTAGTGATGCGGTTTTAGTATTCATTTTGTATCACTTCAAGTTTCACAATACAGAAACACAACAAAGTATAGTATATTCGATTTGAACATACTATTTCACTAATATTGAAGAATACTATCAGGAGTAGAATCTCATTGCACGAGTTTGCGAGTGCCATTTGATTTACAACAAGGAACAATATTACGCCAAAAAAAAATGGTGCAATGATCTTAAATACTTATAATATAGTACCAACTATTTCAGTAACATGGTGAGTTACAAAATAGAAAAGAACATAAATTTTAGAAGCCTAATCGTTTAAGCTTGAGTGACTTGGAACCTTAATTTCTATATAAGTTGCAAAATATGTCATGAAAAAATTTATAAGTTATATAATAAGTTAGTTTTATAGCCAATCCCAAACTGAATTTATTACTCTCTTGAGCAAGTAAAAGAAATAGTATTGTAAGGTGTATATGATGTTCCACTATTACATGGAATGCAGTATGATGAACATGGGTTGCATTACCTACTACTTCCGGTTTTGTTCTTAGACTTATTGATGGATTACCCAGTGGAAGTGTTAAGGTTTCAAACCACCCATTCAAAACCACTATATCATCAACCAAATTTTTCAATTTTTACATCTTTTTAAATATTTTACCTTAATTTTAACTTCAGAGAAACCAGGTATATTCTGAATTGTACATGTATCACATTTCTATATGCCAACTATCAACCAATGTTTAAAGTCTTGCCGTGAAACACCACCATTCTGAAGTCAACTGCTACTAAAAATCCTGGTTTTCTGGAAATCTTAAATAAGTATACTATGCAGCGCATTAATCCTCAATTTTTAATGCAAACTCATGGGCAAGTTAATTTTGGCTAAAAATGGTCTACATATATTTCACTTTCACCGAAAGTGGTCGGACGCTACTATCGAGAACATGACATATAAAATATATATCATAAAATCTAGCAATATAACATAACTATAGAAAACTTTCGTTTTTTGTTTTTTATTTTATGTTTGTTCCATGAGTTATTTGATCTGCCGGTAATAAGCTCTATAAACGAGTCATGAATAATACAAAAACATTAGACAGGACAGATGATGCTATTTAAAATCTCTTTCTTGACCTAAATGTCGTACTTACATGGATTTTATAGCATAATTCATTATAACCAATAACACTACATCAATCGCAGCCAATCCCATGAATATTGTTGCAGGATCATAAATATCATTTGCCTGAATATTAAAGCCTGCTGGTAGGGGACGCCCTGTTGGATTTCGGGGGGGGGGGGGGGATTTTGAAAATGAACATCATGTCCTGGTAAGACCAGGTTGACAATATAAATTGTGTACAACAGTGAAATGAACAGATGAAAA